TGAGGAGGGGCACGCAGGGCAGCAAGCTTCTTACTGACTGGCACAGAAGAACTGCAGTGTTGAACAAAGGGTATGTATGTCCACATGAGTGTGTATCAGCTGCAAGTCAGCCCGATCAGTACAGTGCTCTTGGGGTCTGTTGTCTCTTGGTAATGAAAGTTTCTCCCTCTGCCTCCAGATGGTGCCTCTATTATTTGCAGGTCCGAGCTGCAAAGCAGGCTGACGGTGCTCAAGTATGATGAACCAGTTTGAACCTACGGGCAAATTCTAAGTGTGAGAGGGGCAGGTGGGACTAGCCCTTGGCAATGTAATTTCAAAGGCCTTTGGGATTACTTTTATAGGGATCGCCTAGCCTCTGATACCCGCCCACTCTGGATTAAATGCATAGCTGTCCCCAGGTCCCCCCATAAAAGAGAGAGTCTCATGGTTCTCTCCAAGAGCCACCTGGGGCAACAGAAAGCACATGTGGTCTGAGCGGCTGCTGTTGTATCTTCCACAATCTGCCGGCAGAACCATCCCTCTTCTGTCCAGGAAAGGGGGAACAGGGGCCACAGCGCTGCAAGCACAGTCCCCAGCCACCACCTCCCCACGGTTAGGGTGTCCAGTATCCTGTCTGGACTCAGGAAAAGGGTGTCTCCTACTTTCTTCTCACCCAGGTTTCTTCCTTTCCTACCCTTATCGGATCGAAGGGCAGCTGGGATACAGAATTAAATGAAGTGCTTGGTTTTATTCCAACTCGTACTTCGTTTTAAAACCAGCTCAGAGGAATGTGAAAAAAAATAACGTGGTCAGGTGAAAACAGGTGAGACAAAGGCATGGATTTGCCGGTGGCTAAGAGGTTCGCCAGGGCCACGCAGCCAGTGCACTCAAGAGCGGGGTGCCAAGCCCATCTGTTCGCCCCCACTCCACCAGGCTGCCTTGCAAGGACTGGGCCTTGTTTCTCATGCATTCACACTCATCCTCTTTAGACTTCTCTTGTATGCTTCGCATCTAAATTTGAGATTTCAGAAAATAAGGGTCTGCTTTTGTTATCGTTTATCTTAGATAGAGTTCTAGCTTGAAAGAAAACGCAAGGGATAGGGGCATCTTTAAGCCACGACGCAGTGGTAAGCCTGAGAGTGTGCAGACTCTAGAGGACCCCGTGGGGAGAGGAGGCCAGAGCCCCTCCCCCTCTCTCAGGAGTTAGTCCTCTGTATCCTCTGGATCCAGCACCATTCCGTCCCCCTGTGTTGCCTCTGTCATTCAAGACTCAGGTCTACGCTTTGTGCGTGTGAATAACTGGGATATCCAGCAGCTAGAATGGAAAGCCTGAGGGTTCTCTTTAAGGAACAGAAGACCTGGCAGGCCCCAACCCCAATGAAATGGGCCGTCATCATGATGCCATGTAGGCCATTCTGAGCACGACAGCTATCTACAGCAAGGGTGCTCTCTGGCCAGGAGGCTGGAGCTCTTACCTCGACTCTGCCACCCCGCTGCTGTGTGTCACAGAGAGACCCAGGACTATTCGAGCTTCAGCTTGGGTTTCCAAGGAGGTTTACTGCCATGCTCTTTAAGGGCAAAGGTTCTGCTTTCCTCACCTCTATTCCAGAGTCTATCATGGCCTCTGGCACAGTGGGCCAACTCTGAGGACTGATGGTATGAATAACAATGACAGAAATGCGTACTGAATGTTTACTGTACCAGACCCTCTACCTGTGTTACCTCATTTACATTTCCCAATCACCCTGGAGGTAGAATACTAGTATCATGCCCCTTTGACGGGAGAGGAGTAGGTGACTTATCCAAGGTCACAGAGCTAGTAAGCTGGGTGGTAAACTTAATTTCTGTACTGTTCCGCCTCCTGAGGGCAGAGTGTTTAACTCCATACTGTATCACCTTCCAGCTTGTGGGGGGAAGGAGGGAGAGGGAGGGGAGGGCGGAGGGAGGGGGGAGAGAAAGAAGAAAGGAAGGAAAAGAAGTCAGACAGGATTATGGGCAGTGACCTGCTTCCCCATTTTGAAGATGCTTTCCGTTCTCCATACGGAGCTTGGTGGAGGCAGCGGGCGTGGGGATGGGGGATGGGGGCTGGGGGGAGAGAATTTACCTCTGTTGGCGGCTTCTTGGCTCTGCTCCTTGGTGGTTATTCACCTGTCATCAGTGACTCTTCCTGGGTTTTCACCCCCAACCAGTGGCTACTCTTTTCTGGGTTCTGGTCATCACTACTGATGGCCTCTGCCAACACTTTGGTTCCCAGGGTCCCCAGATCTGAGGTCAATGAGATAATTTGAGGTCTGGAACTGAGAATTTTGGAGTCTAACCAATGCCTGGATTTATCCAGTCGACCAAATGATTGAGGGGTTGTGTTAATCATCCAGTCAACAAGTATTTTCAGAGCATCTATTAAGTGTTTAGCCACTGCGCCGGACGCTAGTGAAACAAAGATAAGGAACACTGCCCTTGCTCTCAAAAATCTCCATGTCTTATAAGTAAATCATGGGGATGGAATGTACATCATGGTGACTAGAGTTAATAATACCCTATTGTATATCTGGAAGTTGCTAAGAGCATAAAGTTCTCATCACAAGAAAATAATCGTCATGATGTAAGGCCATGGATGTTAACTAGACATTGTGGGGATCATTTCTCAATATACACAAATACTGAATCATTCCACTGTATACCTGAAACTAACTCAATGTTATATGTTAATTATATCTCAATAAAAATAAATAAAAATCCCCAAGTCTAGTTAGTGTCGAAAACAGAAAGAGAAACGGATTATTATTGAACAGTGATAAGTAATAAGCTCAAAGTAATCACAACCTGCTCCAGGAACTGAAGGAGACATGAAGCGCGCCTCTTGGCTAGGCTGGGGAAGATTCTGGTGTGGAAAACAAATCCCACGACTTTCCTAGAAGTTTTCTGGGAAAACTTCGTCAGCGCTTGCCGTGCATTTATCATTTGATCCCCACAGCAAAGCTATAAGGTGGGCGGACTGGCTGCTGATTCACCCATTTTCCACATAAACACAGTGAGGCTCAGTAAATTAGGCGGCAGAAGTCCAAATCTAAGCAAACGGGAAGATGCTTTGTATCTTACCCAAGCGACTTTCTACATTAG